GCAATTTTTAGATTGAGCAATCTTTAGAACTCTTGCAGGAGGACCAGAGGATCCACCAGCATTATGAATTGCCAAAAATGTGCTGCACTCACCCACCATCTCCTTCAGAGCCTTTTGGGCTTCTCTGGTATGAGCAGCGTGTCCCATTGCAAACAGAGAATTATAACTCGATAACAGATTAATAGATTACTACCAGTTCTCTTTCCAAGGGAAAATTATTTAATTTTTTGGATAATCCTTTCCATGTATCTCGAACAAATAAAAGTTCCAGGCCTTAAAACAACAGATTATATTCCTAGAAAAGGCATTATAATTTGGATCTGGTTTCCCACAGAAACTGTATTTAAAAAGATAATTATATTCCTGATTAACACTATATTTAAGTACTACTTGAAATATGTGTACATCATATTTATTAAAGTAGGTAAATATAACAGTTCAAGATAAGTCAATTGCATAAAAATGTATTTTATAAATTATGTTGTTTAATGTGTAATTTATCATCCCTGTTTTCATGAACAAATGCATTCGTGGTAAACTTGGGAGTTTCGTGTTTGAAAATAGTCATCTCATGACTTAGCAATATCACCATGTACATGAATGTAATGTATATGGTTGGTATGAGCTTACCTTTAATTAAACTATGTAAGTCTGAATTACTATACTGAAATTTCCCTCAGGGATAAAGTTCCACCAAGTCCACGAACCCTAACAGTCCCCCTGGTCTGCAGGTCTGCAGCCATTTCCTTTCTTCCTGTCCGTGCACCAAAGTTAATAGCCTGAAGACCCCAGGGAGAGGCTGCCAAAGCTCAGGATTCCCCAACAGGCTAACCTCCGTGTGCATGTGACTGGCCGAAGCTGAGTGTGGTAACCTAAGTCCAATGGCCTTGGGCTGAGGCCTGGTTCTTCAGAATGTCAAAAAACACCAGAATGTACAGGTCTTTATTCAGACTCTTCCATGGTTTTATCTTCTACTAATTATGATAACCAAAAATGAAACAATTACCAGTATTCTTTTAAAAATATGCTTACCTAGTAATATTATCACAAATTCCATGGCCTCCAAATTTTGAAGTTTCTATAGGGGCCCCTGGCTTTCGTACCATGATTTTGAGAGTCAGGCGTTTACCCTTCATGCCAGCAGCTTCAAGTCGTCTTTGAATTTCTTCTGAAAGACTCAGAAGAAAACCTTCTGCCTCTTTTGGCTACAGAAGGACAAACGTGGAAAAACTTCCATATTATTTTCCTATGTACCTAATAAGTCTTCTCAAGTATTTTATCTTTTAATGTTAAACATGTCATTTGCTATCCTGCTAAGCATTTATTAAAAATAAACATTCTATATACCCTTAAATATATACTAAATAAAAATACCCATCTTCCCAACAAAGCAAAAGTAATGAGTACTTAAAAGGAATTTTTCCTTTCTTATTTTTCTACGCCATTGTTAACCTGTTGAAATTCTTTTATATTTATGTCCTTATGAAGCTAATGTCTGTGAATTAAATGTGCTCTGTGGTGTTTGCTAACATAAATTCCAAAGACATAACCCAATCCAAATACGTATTCTGAAGGAAAAGGAAAACTACCCAACCATCTGTTCCAGAAGAATTAATAATAAGGAGCTAGCTGAAACTTAGCACTTTTTTTTTTTGTCCTTTTTGAGACCAGCCGCATCGCGCTCAGACAGTGAGCACACCGGTCATCCCTATATAGGATCCGAACCTGCGGCGGGAGCGCTGCTGCGCTCCCAGCGCCACACTCTCCCGAGTGCGCCACGGGCTCGGCCCTGAAACTTACTTTTAATGACAGCTTAAAAAGTATTTCAACGCTAAAAATATTTTTTTTCTTCTGGAGATCAGAATAATTATAATCTCAAGTTCCCTAAGAACTTACTCTAAAAGCATAATTTTTTAGTATCTTTCCCCAAGATCTGAGTTCCCTCAGCCTTATCTGGGGCTCTACTTTACCAGCATTGCCTCCAAACACTTTCTTGAAACTCTGGAAATACCAACAGTCATAAGACTTAATTTCAAGCATCAAGAGTTTTATGGTTTAGTTGGGGAAATAGGACTATGTAAAAATAAAAGGAATATAAGGTAAAATCTGTGAAGTGATAAGTACCTGGGTAAACCTTATTCCATAGTTGATCTCAGCTGAAACCGATTTTCTTTCCTTTTCAGTTCTAACTGGTCTATCATCCAAACCACGGCAGAACCTATAAAGCATCTGACCTGTTTTGGGACCAAATTCTTTTTGGAGTTTTGCCATGGTCATATACTGCAAGTCTCCACAAGTTTTAATTCCTAAAGATGTCAACTTAGATTCCATTGAACGTCCAACTCCTAGAAAAGGGAATATATATAGTTATTTAACTATGAAGAATAAACTATTAACAATTTTAGTAATATGAAATAACCATTATGCACAAAACTAGAATAATCTCCTTTAAAATCTCTGTGACATAAGTGAAGCATCTAATATACTGAAAAGGTTTTTACTGTAAAATCATGCTAGTATTGCTATTTCTAGAAATTCCACAAATACGGATGACTAAAGTTATCCAAAAAATATGATTTTTATTTATTTGTGAATAATGTCAAGATTTCTATCTTACAAAATCAACTAATGAAGTAATAGTCTCCTGTTTATACGAGTATATAGTATGATTTACAGACATACCAACAGTCATAGAATGCTAGGGACTCTACTATGATTTCGGTGACCACCAATTTCACAATGGTTTTAGCCACATTTTCTTTGAATGGGAAATGGAACAAGAAATTACAATATAGGCCCAGATCCAAAATTGTGACTCAGTATCATACTGGACAAAAATAATGCCAATGACCTGGGGATGCAGACCCCTAAGCAAACAAATTGGGGGGCATAGGGAAGCAGACATATTTATCAAAAAGATGATCTCCCTGAAGAGATATTAATCCTCCTGTAGCTGGCCCAGCATGCACAAGTCCCTATGTTCTACTTGGCAAGATGCAAGGTTTGAGCTCCACCCAAAGGGTGCTGATGAGTTGTTGCTCTATGCTGGGGTCTTAATGTCCCTCAATTTGCCCTAGAAGGTTTTGAAAATATGCATATTTAGGATTAGAGTGACCCATGGAAGCTATAATTCTTATTAAAATGGTTCCACACCATCAAATAAGTATTTTCAATCAATGAGGCAAAGACTGTATTTCTGGTCTTCTATAGAACCAAAACAGAGCTCAGAGCGCAGTCTGCTAGCTTCTGCTCGTCACTGCTACTGTTACTTCTAACTCCTGTCCTCCTGAGTGGTCTTCGGTTCTGCCAGGACAGCATCTAGAAGGAGTAATGTATTACACAAGGCTGGGAGGTTGTCACCTTTACAAAAGACCTATCTATGGCCGTGGAGGTGGTCCAGACAAGACAATTTATTCCCTGAAGTTAGCTGAAAGGTGTTACGGGTACTGGCTCCTATTTGTGCCATTTCAGAGTTCAAGTCAGGAGATTTGATTTCCTGTGTCCTATGATACCTTGGATTGCGATCTGAAGCAATGAAGATCCCTGGTGCATGAGGAGGGCTCCTCATACTTTTTGTGATGATTCATGGTCTTGATGATTTGTCTGTCACCTGCTCTGAATTCTGGCTCTGGGTCCAAATTAGACGAGCATCTTATATAGATTCCCCAGATTTATGAGCTATATTAGGAACTGGTGTCCTGCAACAGAGTGCTGCCTAGTTTCTTCGAATTCATTTATACTCTTACTTCGTGTGGGATCAGGAAATATGAGTGCCCATGGGGCATTCTCACAGAAACTTCAGTTGCTCATGAACCAGTGTTTTTAAATATCAGAGGTTATAACTAAGTGGAACGCACTACTCAGAGAAAGTTTCCATTCACCTTTGCACCAAAAGAGATAGAGAATCTGAGTAGTGCATCTGGGGAAACATCCAGAGGGCCAGTGGAAAAGAAAAACATCAACGTCATCTCAAGTAGAAAACGTGGGGCCCCATCAAGAAGTGTCAGTTAGGAACTGAGTAGTTTGTCCCTTGCTGGATTATAACATTTTTATGTCTTGGTCTTAAATGAACAAATTGAGTTATTAACTCCAGTGGTTAAGGCAACCTTCCTAACCGTGGTACTCTGACTACCGGAGGATTACACTACCTCTTAGAAGTTGGACTAACGTGCACGGATGCTATCTTTTGCCATTTTAATAATGTCTTTTTAAAAATGAATTAGCTCTGCTGTACATGTACATGAACTCTTTGGGTGGGGAAATAGGAGTTTCTCCAGACTTTTAAATTTGTAATAAAGGCAATTTTTAAAAATAAAGTTTTGAATATCTGCATAGTAAAATAAAGTCCAAGTCAGAACAAAGGGCAAGTAAGAATACCAGAGACTCTGAGTTAACAATTAAAAAAAGAAGAAATCCTCCAGAAGAATACCAATCACAAAAAGGTGAGATTCTAAGTGAAACCTATCTGCTGAGTGCTTTTTACGATGAGAAAGAGAAAGCCAAAGGAATGAATAAATCCTGTACTAGGTTGGCCAAAGGTAGACAGACACTTTGCACAGCTATTTGCGTTCAGGGAAGGCTTTTTATCTATTTTTTTCTCCCCATTGTTGTCTTGCTCCCCACCCCCACAATCTGCGTGTGATCTTTCCCTAGCAGATCTAGGGAGCCAATCTGTTTTCCCAGACTTGTAAGATTAGCAAGAGGCTATAACAACCCTTGATTGTGTGTGTATATGTTGGGGCGGGGGGGACCCACAGTTTTAAGAGTATCTTGAATATACTGGAACGGAATTATTATTCATTAATAGGTGCAAAGGAAACGCTATTACATAAAACTACTAAATGAACCACAATCAGTCTAACCTAATTGAACTGTACCTCTACGGAGGAAGAAAAGCTCTTCTCCATGGAAAGCTCATCTGATGGAATGAAATGGGCCTGAGATTGAGGTGGGGAAGGGAGGCCTGGGGGTGTAGTCTATCCCTAAACCCTACGACTTTGTGTGGGGGTGGAAAAATTAAGCTTGGAGCCAGTGCCAAAACCCTGGCGAGGAGTGCTAGTTTAACTACATTGTCTAAGTGTGTGTTTAGAAGGAAACAGGGGTGTCTCTTAGAAGAAAGTAAAGGGGGGCTCGGGGCCCAAACTGAGGACAGCCCCCTGGAAAGGAAAAGTGAAGAAAACTGTCCTCACTTGGAACTGAGTCTCCAAGAAGAGAAGAAAACAAAGATGTGGAGGCTCCTGTTCAAGCAGCTATGGCAAAGGCTAGGTATCCTGAAGGGGAACTATGACTCTGGATTAAAAATGGCCAATAATGTCCCCTCCCTGGCATCCAGAACTTGGCTGTCCAACACAGACATGGAGGAGTAACAGTTCAAAGAATAAAGCTCATGTTAGCGCTACAGTACATTAGTGCTGCCCGACACAACTTTCTGCATTGGTGGGAGCGTTCTCTGCTGCACTGTCCAATCCAGAAGGCACGTGCCACATGTGGCTACTGAGCATTTGACAGGTGGTCAGAGTGCAACTGAGGAAATCAGTTGTTGATTTTATTTTATTTAACTTTAATTAACTCTGAATTTTACTAGCTTCACTTGGCTAGTGGCTACATATTAGGATACTGCACATTTTTAAGAACACCTGTGTGTTTAAGTCTCATTTCTCTGAGAATGGACCGAGAGATGGAAACCACAGACTGCAAGCACCAACCTAGTACTGGCTGAACAAGGTTCCAAGGGTCCTTAAATTAAGGGCACATGCATAGGTGAAAAGCCTTGCAAAGATCCAAAGAACACACAGAAATGGTTCTTAGTATTGAAAAAGTTGTTGGGGACAATCCTTTCTTTCATTAGGTAAATAGATCAAATTAAGCAATTTGTTAGAGCCCTCTAAAACAAAACCTTACTATGTATTTTTCCTTCTTACGTAACTATGTTTATTATGCTCAGCACATTTTGTGCTTGGTAAACTATTATTATGAGCCATGGGACCAAAATAAAGTTGGGGGTGAAGAGAGTTACCAATGAATTTCTTCTGGTTATAGGCTAGAGAGCAAAGTTTCCTCACAGCATGTTCTATAAGATGTTAAAAGGTACCAAATATCTTTGGGAAATTACTACTTTTTAACAAATATAAACAGGTTTTTTATTATAATAATTCTCAGAACTTTTATTGTATGGCCCTCTACCAGGGGAGGTTCCCACACATATGTAAAATCCCTTTTTAAGGAACAGCCTGTATTCTGTGGAGCAAACTTTAGGAAAAGATGGGTTACAATGCCATCTTCAGGACAGGGGTAATAATGAAGGCAGCTGACATTCTGCACACCTGAATGTTCTATATCAGTCAGATTAAGAATTTGGGGATTTTATAAAAGGCAATAGTTTTAAACACATGAAAATCACATGAACCATTATTATTACCAGTGCTGTAAGACCTGTTTCTGAAGAGAAGAAGGAGCCAATTTCGCTGCCTCTATCTTTTGGATGTCGCTTAGGGAAGTCAAGTTTGTGCCTCAAAGCTTAGCCAGTTCAAAGAATGGTAACATGTAACCTCACGCTTGCCTGTCATGAAATAAAGTCTTTCCAGCCAGGAAGCAAATCAGGGTGAATGGCAAAATTATTAGGTCAAGGAGCTAAAACTTCTCTACTTCAGTTTAAAACAACAACAACAACTTCAAAATCTATTCAGTTTAAAGATCATGCTTTGGACTGAATTATGTCTTTCCAAAATGTTGATGTCCTAACCCCAAGTACTGCATAGTGTGTCTGCATTTGGACATAGAATCTTTTTTTTTTTTTTTTGTCCTTTTTGAGACCAGCTGCACCGCGCTCAGCCAGTGAGCGCACCAGTCATCCCTATATAGGATTTGAACCCGCGGCAGGAGCGCTGCTGCGCTCCCAGTGCTGCACTCTCCTGAGTGCGCCACAGGCTCGGCCCGACATAGAATCTTTAATAGAGATAATTAAGGTAAAATGAAGTCATATGGGTGGGCCCTAATCAAATATGACTGGTGTCCTTATAAGAAGAGAAGATGAGGACAGACACAGAGGGAAGACCATGTGAAGACACAGGGAGAAGACGACCACCCGTAAGTGAAGGACAGAGAAACCAATCCTGCTGACACCCTGATCTTGGACTTTCAGCCTCCAGAACTGAGAGACAATAAAAGTCTGTTGTTTAAGCCACCCAGTCTGTATACTTTGTTATGGCAGCCCAAGCAAAATAGAGATGACTAGTATAATAATCTTAAACTCAAATTTTACATGCAGTTTTAAATACACTGGTTCCTTCTTGTATAAAACTGCAATAAGATATCTTATTAAAACTGCTCAAACTGCGTTTTCTAATGAGGTAATTTGCTAGTTTGATTTTATAAGGCTAGTCTTCAAATTATACCTCAAACTGACCCTCAAAAATGTCAAATTTCACATTTCTCACACTAATAGATTGCTTTAAGTTATTTACTAGGGAGTCAGGAAGCTTTAAAACTAACCCACCATAAAAGGATGTCTGGGTCATTTAATATTTTATGGCCTATCACAGAAATTTCTAAGTTGAGATATACTTTTATTCAGATATACTTTTATCAGGCTTTAAAATATGCATATAAAAGTACCACCAAATCCATTTTAACAAATAGATGAATTAAAAGACTTTCATTATAAATGTACACTGGACCTTTGCAAAGCTGACATGGACTACTGTACAACAAATAGGTAATTACACAAAATACAAAATAACTAAATATCCTGCACCTTAAGTGAGGAAGATGTAGATGGAAGTTTTTCTTCAATGTTTGGAGTTAACAAAAACACATTTCATCTTTAGGTTTTATTTTTCCTAATACAGCTAATACATTTTCCACTTTTAAAACTATTTGCTTACTAAATACAGAAAACTGTCACGAGTCCTGCAGCATTATTTTATAAATAGGACAATCAGTTCTCAAAACCTTAACTTTGGCGTAGAAGTACACTATATTTCAATTATAATTTACTTAAAGTACAAAAGTCAGTTTCATCCTATTTGGATGAAAATTTAACTTTTAGAATCCTTAATCTTGCTACTTGAGAAATACCTGAAGTAAAACCCATTAGAGGCAAAACTAAAATGCAATATATTATGGTCTTGATAAATCAATTGAAGGAACATTCAATGCAAAATTCCAAACTTCATTTTTCATGGCACTCGATAATAGATTTTTAAAAATTTTTATACTTATCTGTGGAAAAAGATATATTATAAAGCTATAACAAACACTTATAAATGTCTATAATAGATAAAGTTTTTTTAAAAAGATTTGCATTATTTACCTGGTAGACTAGTAACTAGCTGACCTCTGATAAAATCATCTACTTCCTCTGGTTTTAGGTGGTATTGCCCATCTGGCTTTGCTTTTCTAGTTGCCATTCTGGCCAAGAGAATGTTAGAGCCTATAAAATTAAAAATTAAAAAAAAAAGTTCAAGAAATATTCACAATTACTTCTAAAATTTCCTAACAAAGACATCTACAGACAGGTTACCTCTCAAATTTCTAAAAGCAATGAAAATAATATAGTTTTGATCATTTCAAACAAGGTATAAAACTGGCAGAATTTAAGCT